GCTCCCCCCCCCCCCCCCCCCCCCCCGTCTCTCCTCCTGGCAGAAAGTTTCCAAGAGGGCGCCGCTGCAAGTCCCGTTTCTGCCCCTCGCCGGGCTCTTCTCCCCGCCTCCCTTTCTCTCCCCCCCCCTTTCCCAGCCCGTCCTGCGCCGAAACCTGGATTCCGCTCGTCACTCCCTTTCTCCCCCATTGCCAGAGTTGTTCATTATTCATAGTCCGGGGCGTGTCCTGAGCCGGACTTCTATATAGGCGAGAAGTTCCGCTGGAATGAGAGAACAGATGGAGCAAAGTTAAGGGCGAAAGAGTAGAGGCGAGGAATCGGGGCCGGCCAACAAAAGCGATTCCCGAAACGACCCACCACCACCACCACCAGCCACAATCACAATCACAACCGAGAAGGGACTTTGATCTTCGTCAAATTACTTTTTTGCACCTCCTGTTCTCTCCTTCCTTCCTTCTCCAGTCCCCCCCTCTCCTTTTTTTTTCCTTTCCCGCAAGCCACATTTTTGCCGGGGGAGAGCGAATCTTTTCATTTTTTTTGGTAAAACCTGCATATATTTTTTTAAACCGACTTTTAGCAACTTTGCAAACGCTAGAGAGTTTTTTAATCTAATTTTTTTTTCCTTGCATCCTCCTAGATGCATCATTAATCTATTCCGAGGTGCAGGAAAGGGAGGGAGGGGGGAGAAAGGCCGCTCGGCGCTGCAAGCTCTGCCCTCTCGCTCTCCCCCAGGAGTCCTTTGGGCCGGCCGGGGGCTTCCGCGCCTGGAGAATGACTGCGAGGCTCTGGAAGTAGGCGAGGCTGAGCCCCGAGCCTAGACCCCTCCACCGGGCTGCGGTTACCGCACACTTCTTCTTTTTTTCCCCGGGGAACCGGGCGCGCAAAAGCGCCGGGGCCGTTGCGCGCTCTCTCGGGCCCGCCGTCTCCCCTCCCGGCTTGCCCTCGCCGCGCTCCGGGCTCGGCCTCGCTCCCTCCCGCCCTCGCCCGGCGTCTCTCTCTCTCCCCGGTCCTCGCTCTCTCCCCCGTCCCCGGCGATGGTGTGGCTGCTGTGCGTGCCGCTGTGGGCCGCGGCGGCGCTGCTGAGCCGGCTGGCGCTGGCGGGAGGGCCGGTGGTGCGGTGCGAGCCGTGCGACTCCCGCGCCCTGGAGGCGTGCAAGCCGCTGGCGCCCGAGTGCCCGGAGCCCGTGCGGGAGCCCGGCTGCGGCTGCTGCCTGACCTGCGCCCTGCCCGAGGGACGCCCGTGCGGCGTCTACACCGAGCGCTGCGGCGCCGGCCTCAGCTGCCGCCCGCCCGGCGACGAGCCCAAGCCCCTCCAGGCGCTCCTCGACGGCAAGGGACTCTGCACCAACGTCAGCGCCGACGCGGCCGCCGGAGCAGCAGCAGGAGGAGGAGGAGGCAGCAGTGGCGTCGGCGGCGGCAGCAAGCTCCGCGACCTCCTCCTCTTGCGGGGGAGCCCCGGGCCAGGTAAGCGGACAAAAGAGGGACGGCTGGGTGGGGAGGCCGCGGGGCTGGCTTCGGGCTGCCACCTCCAGGTGGACGGGGGGGGGGGGCGGGACCCGGGTT